GAAGGAGAATAAAAATATTACTCGGGCATGCAGGAGTGAAATCAGGAAGGCCAAATCACACCTGGAGTTGCAGCTAGCAAGAGATGTTAAGAGTAACAAGAAGGGTTTCTTCAGGTATGTTAGCAACAAGAAGAAAGTCAAGGAAAGTGTGGGCCCCTTACTGAATGAGGGAGGCAACCTAGTGACAGAGGATGTGGAAAAAGCTAATGTACTCAATGCTTTTTTTGCCTCTGTCTTCACAAACAAGGTCAGCTCCCAGACTACTGCACTGGGCAGCACAGCATGGGAGGAGGTGTCCAGCCCTCTGTGGAGAAAGAAGTGTTTCGGGACTTATTTAGAAAAGCTGGGCGAGCACAAGTCCATGGGGCCGGATGCGCTGGATCCGAGAGCGCTAAAGGAGTTGGCGGATGTGATTGCAGAGCCATTGGCCATTATCTTTGAAAACCCATGGCGATTGAGGGAAGTCCCAGATGACTGGAAAAAGGCTAATGTAGTGCCCATCTTTAAAAAAGGGAAGAAGGAGGATACTGGGAACTACAGGCCAGTCAGCCTCACCTCAGTCCTTGGAAAAATCATGGAGCAGGTCCTCACGGAATCCATTCTGAAGCACTTAGAGCAGAGGAAAGTGATCAGGAAAAGTCAGCGTGGATTCACCAAGGGCAAGTCACGCCTGACTAATCTAATTGCCTTCTATGACGAGATAACTGGCTCTGTGGATGAGGTGAAAGCAGTGGACATGTTATTCCTTGACTTTAGCAAAGCTTTTGATACTGTCTCCCACAGTATTCTTGCCAGCAAGTTAAAGAAGTATGGGCTGGATGAATGGACTATAAGGTGGATAGAAAGCTGGCTAGATCGTCGGGCTCAACGGGTAGTGATCCATGGCTACATGTCTAGTTGGCAGCCGGTATCAAGCGGAGTGCCCCAAGGGTCAGTCCTGGGGCCGGTTTTGTTCAATATCATCATTAATGATCTGGAGGATGGCGTAGACTGCAGCCTCAGCAAGTTTTTGCACATGACACTGAACTGGGAGGAGTGGAAGATATGCTGGAGGGATAGGATACATAGGGACCTAGACAAATTAGAGGATTGGGCCAAAAGAAATCTGATGAGGTTCAACAAGGACAAGTGCAGAGTCCTGCACTTAGGACGGAAGAATCCCACGCACCGCTACAGACTAGGGACTGAATGGCTAGGCAGCAGTTCTGCAGAAAAGGACCTAGGGGTTACAGTGGACGAGAAGCTGGATATGAGTCAACAGTGTGCCCTTGTTGCCAAGAAGGCCAATGGCATTTTGGGATGTATAAGTAGGGGCATTGCCAGCAGATCGAGGGATGTGATCGTTCCTCCTCTATTCGACATTGATGAGGCCTCATCTGGAGTACTGTGTCCAGTTTTGGGCCCCACACTACAAGAAGGATGTGGAAAAATTGGAAAACGTCCAGCGGAAGGCAACAAAAATGATTAGGGGTCTGGAACACATGACTTATGAGGAGAGGCTGAGGGAACTGGGATTGTTTAGTCTGCGGAAGAGAAGAATGAGGGGGGATTTGATAGTTGCTTTCAACTACCTGAAAGGGGGTTCCAAAGAGGATGGCTCGAGACTGTTCTCAGTGGTAGCAGATGACAGAACAAGGAGCAATGGTCTCAAGTTGCAGTGGGGGAGGTTTAAGTTGGATATTAGGAAAAACTTTTTCACCAGGAGGGTGGTGAAGCACTGGAATGCGTTACCTAGGGAGGTGGTTGAATCTCCTTCCTTTGAGGTTTGTAAGGTCAGGCTTGACAAAGGCCTGGCTGGGATGATTTAATTGGGGATTGGTCCTGCTTTGAGCAGGGGTTGGACTAGATGACCTCCAGAGGTCCCTTCCAACCCTGATATTCTATGATTCTATGATCCTGATCCCTCCCATAGAAGTTAATGCAGAACCCATTAACTTCAGTAGTGTCGGGTCAAGTTCATAGACGTGTGGTTGGGATTTTGGAAAGTGCCCAGGACAGACAGGTGCAAAGCTGCCACTGAAAATCTCTGTAGCCCAGGTGCCTTTGAAAATATCAGTGACCTTGCAGTCATTCCTGACAGTGACTAATGCAGAGACCAAGAAAATTGTCCCATTTCTTTGTGCTCCCCTCAATGAATCCACCTCTTGTCTCTTGTTGTATGCTTAGATTGTAAACTGCTTGGAGCAGGAACCATCTGTTTGTTCTGAATTTATACAGCACCTAACACAATGGGAGTCCCGGTCTGTAACTCGTAGTCACTGCCAGAATACATATCTTAACAACAACAACAACAAATGACAGAGGAGAAATCTTTCCCAAACAGGGCAAACACATTGTTCCCTGGCTTTGTCCTGGGATTACAATCAATCAATCCATCCGTCCATCCAAATATAATTCTTCCTTTTCATAAACTACAAATTGATATTAAAATACATTACTGTCAACAGGCAACTAGTTAGGAGCTTTACAGTAATTATGCATTACTAAAAGATTGTTTTTACATATCCTGTTGATTTCCTTTGTGACAGTTGCTTTGTTCTGTAAAATTGCATTTTGCTTGTGTGTTTATTTTTATCTTCTCGCCTTTTAGAAATGTCTAGTGAGAGTTTCTGGATAAGTGACAGTCATTCAGTTTTAAATCTAGCAGTCTGCATATATATTGGTGCCATAGAAGTCTTGCTATCACTCCACCAAAGCTTTAAACTCTGCATTTTGAAAACAAATGTCTTTTCTACACTCAGAATCCCTGACTTTAACTGGGAATGGACACTGGGAAACACTGATGGCTGTAAAATCCAGTCACCCCGGTCCTGTTACAGCACAGTCTGCGAGCAGATTGTGTGTCTTACAGTACCACAACATTTCAACCTTGACCTCAGAAAACCGGTGGCTTTCCTACAATTCTCAGCTCTTTAAACATGTACTTTAGCCTCTTGAGAGAAGGCCATCAGCTGAAAAAACTGAAAAAACCAAACACAACTACTAAGGGATGCATCCTTCCTATCTTCCCATCAGTGAATGAGAAAACCTTGGTCCAAACCAAAGTGGTGAGTGTCAGAGGGGCTCTACGGGAAAGAGGTCTGAATTCCTCTTTTGACCCTTCCAATTCTACAGGACATTTCAAACTGGCCTCTATTACAGAAGAGCATATGTTTAAGGTCGACCTGAAAACATCATGCAGATAGCTTCCTATTGTGTTTCAGTCCTAACTTCCTGGGAGTTTTGCATGAGTGTGGACGTTGGAACTGGTTGCTGGTTAGAAAATATATAAACACAGAACTTTGACTTTTCTAACACTCTTTCATGTTATTAGCAATTACATTCCTTGGCTGAACGTGGATTACATCATGCAACTCACATCACAGTATTAACCAATCAGGAACTAGCAATAGTACTGGACACAATGGGAGCAACAAGGCAAACACAACCTAGGATAGCTTCAACAGGTCCTGACACCCCTATAATGCAAGATGATTCCACCAGTCCCCCAGTGTAATGGCCATCTCCAAACGCCACACAAGCCAATGGAAAGATCCCCACAGATCGTTTAATTACAATTTGTTTTGGTTCTTGTTACGTTATTCTAGAGGTCCAAGTACCTTCCCCCAGGGACAAACCCAGAGAACATTTCCCAGTTTGGGCTCAGTCATTACTCAGCTAAATATGCTCAGTGGCTTCAATGGCAGCAGATCAGGCCCCCGCTCAGGCCGGAGGCCCTCAGTCAGTACAGCACTTGCTTAACATTAAGGACTGAGCCAGGACTACAGACTCGGCCCTCAGTGCCATGTTCATATATGTAGCTTACCAGCTTTTACAGGGTAAATTTAACTCCCTGTGTCCTGAACAACAAAACCAAGTTCAGCTACAGAAAATTTTATTCTCTAGTTCCAGACAACTCACTGCAAACAAAGACTGATTCACCAAAGTCCACTCATGGACACGTCTGGCCATAGGGACTTTGTGTGTAAGAACACTCGCACACACACACGCAATCTCTCTTTCTCTGCTCCCCTCCCCAGAGAGCCAGATTGTGTCTGGCCTCTGTGCTCGGCATGGGCCAGGGTGTCGATGGGCACAAGGAACTCCTAGCCCACCTCTGTGCAGGGGACAGTTGCACTCCTGGGGCTCAGGGAAGTACAGGGAGTGCACCCCAAAGGCACACACCACCCCAGGGTAGGTGAGGAGGAGGCATGGTGTGTTCTTGCCTTACCCTCCTGCACCAGCTGGCAGAGCTTTCCTGCTGCAGTCAGGGGAGTGTGCCGCCCCATCCTGGTTGGTGGTGCCGCATGCATATTCTTCTACACTTGCTGGAACGATTGTACCTGCTGAGCGAGGACCTTTCCCAGGGCTTCCCGTGAGCCTCCGCAGTGCCTACTCAGGGCTGTGACTACACACCACAATCTAGCCTTGCCCACTGCTCCTATGTACATCATCACCACTTTACACCACCACAGATGCATGATGATTAATATCAGGGCAACCTCACTGTATATGGCTTTAGAAATCTTTGTGCAACCCTGGTTATCATACCTGTGGCTCTACAGGGGGCATACAGTGTACTGCACAACACACAACTAAACCTTCACTGCCCTCCTGTTGCATGCAATCCAACTGCTGACTTGATCAGCCAGAAAAGGTGTCCATGCAGACACTGCCGTCCTTGTTCGAAGAGACACAGCCCTCTCGGACAAAACGACAGTGCTGTAAAACGATCAGGTGCTTTCTTTAAGCTGCTCAAAACCAGGTCCAGATTCCTCCGGCCACCAGCAGCAGAATCAGCTGCCTGCAGGGCTGCTTCGGATGAAAACCAAATTAAACGGGAAACAGCTGATCGGTTTGTCTTGCAGCAATATTTATTTTAAGTAAATGGCAAGACAAGGGAGGATAATGAATCTCTCGGCTTTCTTGTGCCCGCTGGCTCAAAGAGGAAAGTACACCATAGCAATGTGGTGACTAATCAGCTTTACAACGTTGTTCAATTACGGTCGGCTGCTCCAACAGCACTTGCCCTTGTTTCTTTGTGTATTAATCGTGAATTTAGAGCACGGTAGTAGCACAGCAGATTTGGGAGACAACATTCTCTCTTCCTCCAGGGATCACCGTCAGCAGAGACGGCAGCGAGGTGAGTTTCTCTGCTCTGTTGGAGGCAGCACAGCCCACTGGCCTGCGATTCAGGAAGCCTGGGTTTTATTCTTGGCTGTGCCTTTGGGAAAGTCACCTCATGTGTGTTTTCACTTCCACTTTTTGTTTGCCTTGTATGTTTCAACGATAAGCGCTTCAGGGCAGGAATGATCTTCCATCACATGTTTGTTGAGGGCCTATCACGGGGCCCTGATCTGTTGGGTGCCACTCGGTGTTATTGTGAAGCGCACTGGTCATAACGTATTTATTAATTATTATTATTATTATTATTAGGAACATGCACATAAATATTAACCCATTTTTTATTTGCAGCTTGATGTTCTGTTGCAAATTGCTGGAAGAAACCACCCCTGAGTTTCACAACATCTAGCAAATACTGGTAATGGAAAAAGTTCCTTCTCCAAAGAAAACCCCCTCAACAAATGAGTATGCTTCATGGAATTCAGAGAGAAGAACAATGCTCTGTGAGTCAAACCCACAACATTTACGCTCTTCTAGTGTTCACTGATTAAGGATAAATACCCTTTCCTCAGAGGTCATGTTTTCTAAACCTTTGATCTAAACCATTTTTTGTTGCTCTTCTCTGGACTTTCTCCAAGTAGTGCACAGGTTTCCTCAAGTGTTGTTCCCAGAACCAGACACAGTTACTCAGCTGAGGCCTCACCAGTGCTGAGTAGAGAGGAACAATTACCTCTTGTGTCTTATATATAACACTCCTATTAATAAACCCCAGAATGCTATTAGCCTTTTTAGTAGCTATATCACATTGCTGACTTATATTCATTTTGTGATCCACGGTCACCCCCAGAACCTTTTCAGCAGTACTTCTGCCTAGCCAGTTATTTCCCATTGTGTAGTTAGTTGTGCATTTGCTTTTTTCTTCCTAAGGGAATTGCTTTGCACTTGTCTTTATTGAATTTCATCTCTTGCTTATGAATTTCCTATTATGTGTTATTTCCAATTATCATTTATATTGCTCTGAAAAACTCAGTGGAAAAACAAATCTTTTCTTAAAACAAAACACATCAGTATTGGCAAGCCCCCCAAACAAAATGAGCAAAAGCTACAACTGTTGAATCAACAGTGTGCCCTTGTTTGAGTCAACAGTGTGCCCTTGTTGCCAAGAAGGCCAATGGCATTTTGGGGTGTATAAGTAGGGGCACTGCCAGCAGATCGAGGGACGTGATTGTTCCCCTATATTCGACATTGGTGAGGCCTCATCTGGAGTACTGTGTCCAGTTTTGGGCCCCACACTACAAGAAGGATGTGGAAAAATTGGAGAGAGTCCAGCGAAGGGCAACAAAAATGATTAGGGGACTGGAACACATGAGTTATGAGGAGAGGCTGAGGGAACTGGGATTGTTTAGTCTGCGGAAGAGAAGAATGAGGAGGAATTTGATAGCTGCTTTTAACTACCTGAAAGGTGGATCCAAAGAGGATGGATCTAGACTATTCTCAGTGATAGCAGATGACAGGACAAGGAGTAATGGTCTCAAGTTGCAGTGGGGGAGGTTTAGGTTGGATATTAGGAAAAACTTTTTCACTTGGAAGGTGGTGAAACACTGGAATGTGTTACCTAGGGAGGTGGTGGAATCCCCTTCCTGAGAAGTTTTTAAGGTCAGGCTTGACAAAGCCCTGGCTGGGATGATTTAGTTGGAATTGGTCCTGCTCTGGGCAGGGGGTTGGACTAGCTGGCCTCCAGAGGTCCCTTCCAACTCTGTTATTCTACGATTCTATGATCAATGACACTGCCAGAAACTTCTGCTGGAAGTTGTGTGATCATTGCCTCTGGGCATAAAGAGTGCCATCAGTGGAGGAGTACTCCCATTAACTGTAAATGTATGTTGTGCTGCTTGAAGAGACTTCATAGATGGGGGGAGGGGGGCAAACTGAAAGCTTGGATCTGGGTGCACAAGGAGACATGGGACTGGAAAGGTTAATGCACTGAAATAGACCAGCACAGCAAATGTCTGGCCCCTTTGGAATATCAAATGACGAGAACACTGTAATCTGTATAAAAGAATCACAAGTCAAACTGAAGCAGTCATCAGCCTATGCTGGGACAGTAGATCTAAAATAGACAAGCATATTATTCTTTTAGCGATTGTTAAACAAGAAAAATGTCATTCTAGTTAAACAACATTATTAAATTCTGTTTCTCAGCGGGGAGCTGCCTTCAAATCTATCCAATAAGGCTCTTCACTATCACACAACTCCTTTCCTCGTAAATTACTCTTTTAAATCCAGATTAAAACTTTTCTTTAGTCAAAGTTTTACACTAGAGACAATGTCACAAAGGGAGGCCAGACTGATCTCCAAGGCTGTCAATGCACTGTAATATGCGGTAAAATGGCATAATATGCACTTCACTTGAGTTTGGTTGAAGAGTGATTAATTGTTTTTCTAAAAAATGCTTAAAATGTAGAAGCTAATTTCTCCCATCACCCTCTACACCTATCTGAAAAGTGCGTCTACGAATGAAGCACTGGTCTTCATTTAGTGCTATAGTAGGTGATTGGTGATTGATGGCGTCAACGTTGATCTGAAGTTTGGGTCTAGGGAAAGCGTGTTCTTTCTCGAGGGAAAAACAAATGGAGAACATATCCTGATATTAAAGTGTGATTTTCCTATGGGCCTAATGGGCCCTTAATGACTAAAATTAACATGCTCATATTTAGTCTGGGCACCAAAATCTATAATTTAGGTATTGAAATAGAAGTGGCCTTGTTATCAGATGTGCTGAGAGATCCAAGCTCACATTAAACTCAATGGGAGGGCTGAGATGCAATCAGGACACTTGCTGAGGCCCTTAATATGGATTTAAGGGCCTAGCTCTAGGCACCTCAGTTTCATAAGCTTGGCCTTGAACTGCAGATAATCTTTTAATGGGAGATCACTAAAAAGTTGGAGACCTAATGCAAGAGAAGGAGGCTATAAATTGGAGACGGTGTTTTTTGCTTTTCACATGCAAAGGAATGTTCTAAGGTCAGCAGGCATTTGTGGGGCTGAAATGAAAGGAATTCACTAGGAAGAAGAAAATAACATAGGATCATTTCATCTAATAAGATCTTCCATGTGGAATAGCTTTCTGAGGATTGCCTTTATGAATCACCTATATTTGCTGTTCTTCTCTTTGGGAACTGAGAGTATACAAACAGCAGGTAGCTACTCACTTTGGGGAAGTAAGCAAAGCTGCAGAGAGAGAGAAAAATGCTCACATGCAACATGTGTTTCTCTGACAGATTTTCTGTATCCTTCAAGGGGACTCCCAGGGAATTGGAGACGTGCATTCTTCCAACTGTCCAAATAAAAGCAACATCTCCCAGTAGCATCTATGGCAGTTTGTCTTGAGACTTTTCCCACTGTCAACAGATTTAAGGGCCAACTCCAACCAAAAACCCAGATAATCACACAGCAAGCTCTAAGAATATTTCAGTTTTGCTATAATTACTTGTGGACCTTTCTCCATATGGTATAGTTTAGTTAGAGTTATTTAGGCTATGTCTAACGCCATCAGCTAGGTCTGAGATTCCCAGCTCCCGTGGACTCGTGTTAACTCTCACCTGAGCTAGTGCACTAAAATGAAGAGCATAGCAGCAGTAGCATGGGCAGTGGCAGCCCGGGTTAGTACAAATCTGCCTAAACCCTGCGGGTACGTACTCAGGGGGGCTAGCCCCTGCTGCCGCCCCTGACTACTGTGACTACACTGCTGTTTTTAGCGTGCTAGCTCTCATGACAAACAACAGGTCTACAGGAGCTGGAGATTACCCCTCTATCCTGCGTGTAGACGTTGCCCTGCTCACAGAAGTATGCACTCATGTTCCTTGTCCATATTTATGCAGATAAGGTTAGACCCCAAAGATAAACTAAAGTCTGTTTCTTTGATCCTGCTCTCTCCTAACAATAGGCTCAGCACAGTAGAAACACGCAGGGTATTTTCTCTCTTCCTGACACAAATCAAGTGCAGGTTGCTCAAGCTGTGAAATATATTAAGTTCACAGAGTTTTAACAAAGGTTACCAAACCACAAAATCCTGCTGCGAATCAAACTACTTTCAGATGTCCTTTTAATTATATTAAATGAAAGTTTGGGCTGCTTTGATGCTTATGGGCAAACATCTAGATCTCTTGAAAAGCTGCTAAAAGTACTCCCTGTTGCTATAGTTAATATACTACATTGTATGCACCCTGCTAGCCAATTTATTCCAGCCACTTTAACAAGGATACCCAACCTGACAGGCCACACAGAACAGCATCAGGAGTCAAGCAAAGCACAAATCATTAGAGGACTCCAAAAGTTGTTTAACACACACACACCACAGAGCTCTTTGTCATACAGCCAATTAAGTGACCAAATAAGGAACTTGAGAATCTTCATTAATTTGTTTCTCACTCTATAAATGGAGGTTAAAATCTCTCTTGTCACGTGCACTGCAAGTACACAAGTAAATGTGGCATAATTCAATTTACACTCTGTCCTGAAGGTGCAAGATTCTTCTTTGGTTTAGACACAAGCAGGCATCAATAAGAAGTGGGACAGGAAGGATTACGCCACTTTAGATATCAACAGACTCAGTCCCAGATGTATCTTTTATCTGCCAAGAGATATTAGGTTTTCAAAAAAGACCTCTTCCTTTAATCAGTCGTGAACTTAATGCCTTGGATCCGCTGAGAAATGTCGATCATTTTTGCTTACTGCAATGATTCAGACTGCCCATATCTTCAGGGAGAAACACGCGAGAGGGATACCTGAGGATCAGAACGAATGGGACCGCTTTGATCAAAACAATAGCAATCTCCACAGACTGGGGATGTCAAGAACTGAAAGAACACAGGCCAGTATCGTAGCAATGAAGTTATTCGCTTCATGGAAGATCCTGTGTTCTTTACTGCATGGGTAGTACCTTCAGAACACTTTCACTATTGTCGCCGGTAAGGTAAAGGTAAAAGCCTCATCCAGCTTCTAACAGGCGAGAAAATGGCACTTGCAGGAGTGAAAAGCAGTTATAGTTTAGGGGTGTGGCAACAGTATGGTTCTGACTTAGAATAAGAGAAGGAGGCTCTTCCAGACATGCTAAGAGTATGTCTGCACAGCAGATAGGAGGCGTAAATCCCAGCTCAGGTAGACACAAATGTTAGCGCTGCTCAAACTGGTGCCCAAAAACACCTGTGTGGCTATAGTGGCACAGACTAGTGGCCAGAGTACAATCCTGGCCAAGCCCCGGGTACAGCCTTGGGTGGCTAGCCGGAGGTGCTGCCCATGCTCTTAGACTGAGCAGAGCCAACGGGCGTACATCTACCTGAGTTGAGAATGCCACCTCCGCACTGCTCTGCAGATGGACCCTAAGTAAAGAGTGGAGTGCTGGCCAAATTCTCGTAATCTGCGGAAGGAAAATGTCTCAGCTAGAACTGGACAAATACTGAGAAGGCTTGTTTTTCCCACCCAGATTAAAACCATTTGCTTTGGCTATTGTGTTCACATTCTATACATGTTAAAGAATTAGGATTCACTGGCAAAAACACTTGCGGGAGGCTAAGGTGACACTCTCTCCTTTGAGCATTTGCCCTCCTTGTGGTTAATTTTATACATGAAAGGATCAGTGCGTGGCAAGACAGGGAGTCAGGGCAATGCACACTGTTCACCAGAGCCCTGGCACAAACTGCACAAGCAAGACAAGGATCCGATCTCACCCCTTGTAATGAGGCCCACACTTGCAGTAGAATCCCTGACTACTCACCCACAATATGGAGCAAGCGGTGCCAAGTGCCCCCTGAGTCCCTTGTGCATATTGTCAGTAGCCATGCGGGGGTAGGTGAGAACAGCCCAAGCAGAGCCAGGACTCTGCCTCCTGCACAGGTAGGCAGGGCAGGGCAGTGGCTGGCAGCAATTGGGAAGCAATCTGCCCCAGGGATAGGGCTGAGCAAGACCATGTACACCCTGGAGAGGAGACGAATCAGAGACCCCATTGAAACTCTCAGAGTCACAATCCGGTTCCTGCTCTGTTCCGGGGGGCGGCGCAGCTACAGAGTCTGTTCCTTGGCATATGCAGCAAGGTTACCATTGAGCCCTGATTTTAAACTCTGCACACACTCAATAAAGCTTGCAGGAGACAAACTGTTTTTCAATGTACCTGAACTGCTTATATAGCCCCCTTTACTGTAGTAACTGAATAACTGTAACCTTTAGTGTATTTATGCTCCCCACGCCCACAAGAGACAGGCATAGAATCATAGAATATAAGGGTTGGAAGGGACCCCAGAAGGTCATCTAGTCCAACCCCCTGCTCAAAGCAGGACCAATTCCCAGTTAAATCATCCCAGCCAGGGCTTTGTCAAGCCTGACCTTAAAAACCTCTAAGGAAGGAGATTCTACCACCTCCCTAGGTAACGCATTCCAGTGTTTCACCACCCTCTTAGTGAAAAAGTTTTTCCTAATATCCAATCTAAACCTCCCCCACTGCAGCTTGAGACCATTACTCCTCGTTCTGTCATCTGATACCATTGAGAACAGTCTAGAGCCATCCTCTTTGGAACCCCCTTTCAGGTAGTTGAAAGCAGCTATCAAATCCCCCCTCATTCTTCTCTTCTGCAGGCTAAACAATCCCAGCTCCCTCAGCCTCTCCTCATAACTCATGTGTTCCAGCCCCCTAATCATTTTTGTTGCCCTTCGCTGGACTCTCTCCAATTTATCCACATCCTTCTTGAAGTGTGGGGCCCAAAACTGGACACAGTACTCCAGATGAGGCCTCACCAATGTCGAATAGAGGGGAACGATCACGTCCCTCGATCTGCTCACTATGCCCCTAATTGCATGATCAGAATCACTCCCTGTTGTATACATGGGGAATGCAGGCACACAGAGGGTAAGGCCCAGATCCTCGGAGGTATCGAGATGCCTAATGTCCATTGATCTTCCTCGTGTGGATGCTCTCATTCAGAATTAAAGTAACATTAATTCAATTTAGTTGAATTCACCTTGGAGGTTAATCCTTAACTTTTAAACACGCGAGGAGTCCCACTGACTTAAAGGGAAATACTCACATGCTTAAAGTTAAGCATCTGCTTAAGTCTTTGCAGGATACGGGCCTTATTTTGCAACCTCCACTTTTTTTTAAAAGTATGTTAAATCCACTATGCATTATTGGCCACAGGAAAAAATAAAAGCAAATATAAGAGCTTGCTTTTTCTTTTTTACACAGCAAAATCTCGAAGACAGCAAAGAAGAAGAAGAAAACTGTGTTTGGCTACTCTCGCTGAAGAGTACCTAAGAGTACTCAGCCTGAGAAATGGGAAACATTTACTTATCTTTACTGATGAAAGCAAATCAGTGTACCGGTACAGTTAGCTGGGGTAAGGCTAGATACATCTCCCACACACCTCAGGATATCCACACCCAAAGGGATCAGACCGGGTAATGAAGAGGAATGCAATTTTATACACTTTTTACAGTCATAGAAATCCAAGCACTCTCACCCCAAGTGCTCGAGGATGCATTGGCAAAGTAAAGCATATCATAGCATAAAAGGTCATGTTTTGTAGGTGCAGAAACTAGAAATGTACAGATGTGCAGAGGGGACCTTAAACATAAATGTGGGTTTTGTTTTACTGTCTCTGTGTGCATTATATACATATAAATAATGGCAAATCCTGCATTACTGCAACATTAAGATTGCAAAATTAAATGCACAAAAATCAGGAGATTAAAAATAAAATGTTCCTTATTGCAAAGTTAACTCATTCACATTGCATGTACTGCTTTATAAGATTCACTGGATCTATAGTCAAGGTAACAGGACAAATTGTACTATCATCCCGATCCTGCAAGGACTGTGAGTAATAATAATATCTAGTGCTTTTCATCAGTAGATCTCAAAGCTCTTTACATCCCCATTTTACAGATGGAGAAACTGAGGAACATACAACGGGCATGACTTACCCAATGTCTCCCAGCAGGCTCGTGGTAGAGCCAGGAATGGAAGCCCAGTCCAGTACTCTATCCACCAATCACTAAGACAACTAGCAGTGCATAAAGTTAAACTGTCTTGTAAGTCTTTGCAGAATCAGGGCCACAGATTGCAACTGGTCATCACTTTATGACAAATGTCCCCTTTCATCTGAAGTTTTCCATGGCTGGTCTCAGCCACCAGGTGGATTTGGGGGGAAAGTTTGAAGAAAACCCTTTTCTTATTTCTGAGTTATCTGAGGAGCGTAAAATGTAACTGTTCCACTTTAAATGAGAATTCTGAAGATTGGGGCGGGGGGGGGGGGTTGTGTATGGAAACTCCAGATTAGCTGAACTCCCAAGGCACAATTTGGCATATTCTCTGTGCAGAGTCCTACTAAACTCCATGGATGCTCTACATGAGGAGGATTTACAGAGATGGGTTCCACAAAATTGAAACTTCACCTATGGCAAATCCTCCATGACAAATAGGTGCTGTGGGAGTTGGAAAAAAAATATTTTTAAAATTAAGAAATGATAGACTCATAGAAGTGTAGGACTGAAAGGGACCTCGAGAGGTCATCTTGTCTCAGTCCCTGCACTCAAGGCAGGGCTAACTATTCTAAGTATTATCTAGACCATGCCTGACAAGGGTTTGTCTAACTTGCTCTGAAAAATCTCCCCATGACGAAGATTCTACAACCTCCATACGCAATTTATTCCAGTGCTTAACTACCCTGACAGAAGTTTTTCCTAATGGCCAACCTAAACCACCCTTGCTGCAATTTAAGCCCATTGCTTCCTGTCCTATACAACTTTTCTCCCTCCCCTTTGTAACAACCTTTTATGTACTTGAAAACTTTTTCAGGTCCACTCTGTCTTCTCTTCTCCAGACTAAACAAACCCAATTTTTTAATCTTTACTCATAGGTCACGTTTTCTAGACCTTTTATAATTGTTGTTGCCCTCCTCTGGGCTCTCTCCAATTTGTCCACATCTTTCCTGAAATATGGAGCCCAGAACTGGACACAGAACTCCAAGTGAAGCCTAATCAGCCCGGAATACAGCGGAAGAATTACTTCTCGTGTCTTGTTTACAACTCTCCTGCTAATACATCCCAGAATTATGTTTGCTTTTTTGCAACAGTGTTGCACTGCTGACTCATATTTAGCTTGTGAACCTCATTAAGGAATAATACCAGTGGGTGTAGCTCCTCCCCCATGGTATAGCTTCAACCCTCCCCCTTTTTCTCTTCTGCGTGTTTGCTCTTACCAATATTTGGAGCAGCTTGATTTAAGCAGGCACATTGCATGGTGGGAGTAGCTTCTGAATTGCCTGCTGCACTAGACAGCTGTACTCTATCTCAGGGCACACCACCTCACCTGCGCCATCTGCTTTGGTCAGTTGCCAGGCAGGGAGCTGGGTTTGGAGGAGTCTTGGAGAGATAGGAGGTGGGGATGTGGCTTAGTTATAAACTTTTGGTAATTATTAGTCAATCTTAACCCTTTCTTTCCTCAGCTCCCATCTTCCTGTTCTCAGTAAATCACCCTCCCTTATACTGTTACTTTGGGTACGCCATTCCTTTGCTGGGGTTAAGTTTATTGAATTTTATGGTCCTGGGAACTGGACTATACATTCCTTGCCAGCTTGTAGCATTAGCATTGATTTTCTCAAGGGAGACCACCCCTGGGGATCTGGCCCAGGGAGGAATCCCCTGAATGGAGGCACCAGGAGCCAGAAAGGAACACAAGTCCCAAACCACGAGAGGAGAAGCTGCTCCAAGTATTGGTGAAAGCAAATGCCCAGAAGAGAAAAAGAGGGTGGGCTTAAGCCACACGAAGGGGGACAGGCTACCTCACATGGGATTATTCCTTAATGAGGATAAGCTGCATGTGACATTCAGTTGTTTTTGAGTGCACGATGTGCAGAGAAGCTTTACCTTCCTTTTCTAAAGTGAAAATACGTGTGCACAGGCAGAACAGATGCAGCCAAAACAGGGACTGCTCCACGGGGAGGAGGGGCTAAAATGGGACTCCAGTGCAGCCACCCCTCTCCCAAATCCCACCCCAACCCAGATCTGTGCAAGGTAGACTCCTCACCTGAACTCTGGGGGCACCAGGTGGTGCTTCCCCGCCACCTCTCCATGAGGCCTAAGGAGGAGAACATCAGAGAGGAACTGACTGGAAATTCCAGCCAGTAGGGGCAGGAACAGCCAAAGCAGAGACCTCAGGATGCTCAGAGAACTTCCTAGGGTTCTGATGGGTGATTAGCCTGTGCTGATTGTCTGTTTGCTCCAACCCTCCCATGCCCTCACAGTGTTCACCATGGCTTCACGTCACACCTGCCCCTCGTACCGTCTTCTCCCCTGCCATGTGCCCCTACCCCCTTGCCTTTGCATTTAGCTGATGCCCTCCTAATCAAAACCAAGCTCCCCCACCCCGAAAAGTGGAACCAACATGCCAATTGCCATCATCTCTTTATTCACGCTGTTGGTGTACTCCACCCCTACCCCTTACTTTGTGTCTCTTTTGTCTATGTATATCGTAAGCTGTTCAGGGAAGGGACAATCACCTACCCTGAGTTTGTGCAGCACCTTGCACAGTGGGGCACCAGTCTTGGCTGGCCCTTAGGTACTATAGTAATAAACATGATTAATAAATAATAACAATATGAATAGTAATATATACAAAAAAACTGCCTTCCCCATTTGGATAACTCAAAAAATGGCTGAAAGAATTTTCTCCAATCTTTCCCCCAATTTTCTAGTGAGTTTCTGCCCCAACCATTCCTGGAAGTTGTAAGCAATGGATTGTAACGTTATCCTGTAGCCCACAAAGGCTAGAGTGATCAGATACACAGACACAAGAACAGCACCAGACATTCAGTCAAACAACTTAACAGATTTATAAAAACACTAGAAATACCTGGACATAGGCCCTGCAAGAGCGCTCCCTTTTCTGAAGCTGAATCCATAAAGACAGCAGATTAAAGACGGAATAGAAAAAACAAGTTAGTGACAGAAGAAAACAAGGGAAAAAAATAAAGAAAACATCTACACAAAAACTATCATTTCTCTGTTGATGAGTTTCTAGGAGAACATGCAAGCTAAGCAGCAGTGGAATGCTGTTAAGTACTGACTCTAGAGACAGTTGGTTAGTTCTTTTCAGGAAAGCACAGGCTGGAAACTCTGCCACAGCAGCTGTTAGTTAGGGCCGCAGACCTTGAGGCAAACTGTAACTATTCTGTAAGCTAAATTTACCTTGCAAATTTGAAATCATACATTGCACATCATGTCAGACAATGCCAGAGATTTCGAGCCTTATTCTTGTTTGCACAAGGCTCCTTTACGTTGCTCTGACAGTGTAAAGGGCCCTTAAAGAGGTGTCAATTACAGTTAAATGAGAATCAGGCTGAATGTTTCAGGCTATTTTATCTTTGGGCTTGCCTACACAGTGCTGGGTGTTGTGAGCTAACTGGGCCATGAAGCTGCTGCTGGCACAAGCTAAAATCTCCCTGGTGTATGTTCACATCGTTAACGTTTTAACAAATGAAAAAGATGCCCCACCATCACCCCACTCCATTTCAATTCATTTTACTTCAACTTGTATGAAAAAAATAAGAGCCCAGGTGACTGGTTTCAGGGCAAGTATTGAGCGAAGTCCTTTCGGTGGACTTGAACGTTTCTCCTAAAGATTAGATGAATATTTGATGGTCGGTGCTTGCTTTCTTTTGCTCTCTCTGACAAAACAGAACAAAACACAAACTCTTTGCTAATTACTTTTTCTTTTCTTTTCAGCGCATTTTCCTTGATCAGCAAAGGGGATAATGGTGCAGTGACTCTGCTGCCTATTGTTTGCCCAATACTACTTCCAGCACTAATCCATGCATTCTTAAATGAACACAGAGCAAAAGAAGTAAGTAGGGAATGAGAGCAAGTAAATTACTGAGCCTGTCATTTGGATCACTGACTCGTATCACTGATTTGCAGGACTCCACACACTCCAGAATTTTAATGTGCAGCACAATTGATTTGTACTAGTTGACTGTGGAAACCTGGGGGGGGGGGGAGGGGGAGGGACTGCTAGAGGGGATCACAGGGAGGTAAAGCAGAGTGAGAAACACACTGTCTTGATATGTTCTTTCGCTACAAGAAAATTTTCATAGAAATGGAGAAATGTCAGAAGGTGAAATAGACAAGGATTAAAAACATACGCTTTGCAAAGCAAAGGTGACTGGATGCTGTATGTAGCTAAGCAATATTAGCAATATTCAAGTAGCAAGCAAATTAGAATCATGTAACCAGTTAGTATGTGACAGTAATTGCCAGTTTTACACAATGTTGTCAGATATCAACATAATTTCATATCTAAAAGCTTTGCAGTAGGTCTGTAAGACACATTGTTGTGTCCCTGTAACAGTTAATGCCTGCACTGTTATAGGAGAGCGGGAAACAACATTAATTAATAGCATCAAGTTAACCCAGCTGACAGCACATGCAAAGCACAGGATGCACAGGTCTTTAACTCCTAGAGTTGTTTTTTGTTTTAAATATAACAATCCAAAAGATCCTTTGTGCTTAAAACAGCATAAATCAACAATAATAATGTACATCAAAGAGATAACTTTGCTTTTCATAGTATTATGTGGTTTTGCATCCCAAAATACAGTAAACACAGAAAATATCTGGTGTATCTGTGATTCCAACACCC